TGCTCTACCCCAGCTAGTTAAACACTACCCTGAGTTTTGCATTTATCATTCTTTTAGCACATATATGTACCATTAAAATATATTACTTAGTTTTGCTTAATTATATAAACAGAACATAATTAAGTCAACAGTCATTGGGGGCTTGCTTTTATCATCTAACATAACTTCCCTAAGACTCATCTACATAGCTGCATAGCAATTTAATGCATTTACTTTCTCCTATATAATATTCCTGTGTATGAATAAACTTTATTTATCTGTTCCTTTGTTGATCACTTGGAAAGCAATCTGGCATTCTTCTAAAGCTGAGAATGTACATATTCTAAAACCTAGCAATTTCTCTTCTGAGAAAACACTTTTATACATATATGTTAAGAAATGTATAAAACATATTTTTAGTAAAATGGTTATGAGTTTTCTTAATTAGATTATTAATTATAATTAATCTTCACTCCTTACATACTACTGTTGAAACCAACAGGATCAACAGCATGAATAAGAGGGTAAAGAGGGGTTGTAGAGATGCCCTGCAGATGAAAAGGTTATTTGTTCGATGTTATCTAAATTATTTGCATTCAACATTCAATAAATATTTCTGAGTACTCCCATGTATCATGCACTTTTCCATTCATAGGGGATGTAGCACTGAATAAAATTGAGGAAGTGGCTGCTATCATGAGGCCTTATTTTGTTGTGGAATATAGACACTGAACACAAATAAATAGTATGATATTAAGTAGTGGTAGTAGTACAGGTAAATACAGAGCCAAGTAAAAGCATAAAAAACAATGTGGCTTCTAGTTTAGATGGTATGGCCAAAGGATGTCTCTCTACCTCACTGAAGGTAAGAAAGAGGTCTTGCATGTATCTCAGGGAAGAATATTCTTGGCAGAACCACAAAGACTGTAAGGTGGTATTATTTTTATTGGTTTAGAAAAGCAGTAAAGATGTCACTGTAGGTGAAATGGAATTGGTAAACCAAAGAAAGCTCAGATAATGTTGGAGAGTTAGACCAAGGCAAGCTCACATAGGGATTTATATCATTTCGTCCAGGTGTCATTGATGTCCTATAGTCTGTAGTCCTATAGTCTAGATCTGAATGAAAGGGAACTATTTGATATTTTTATGCAGCAGAGTTAGTTAAATGATACACATTATTTATGATGTTTAAAAACATCATACTGGATAATAAATGAAAAAGCCTGTAGCAGGGGAAAAACAGAAGGAAAACCTCTGGGTGGGAGTGATGGTCATTTAGATGAGAGAGGAAGGTGTCTCAGTTTAGGTGGCAACAAGGAAGCTGGTAAGAAATGATTAGCTGGAGAATAGATTTTAAAATGGAGTCAGAAGGATTTGTTGATAGATTGCTTGTAAATGTGTAAAAGGGAGAAGCCAATAATGACTTCAATGTTTTTGGCTTGAGCATATAAGTTAAAGATGATGTCATGCATAGAGATAGAAAATTATGAAGTAGGGGAAGGCTTAAGTAAAAAAATCAAATGTTTGGTTTGGGGCATGTTATGTATGAGATATTTGTTAGATATCCAAGTGGAGTTGACATGCCAAGTAAATACTAGGTAAATTAGTCTGGAGTTCAAGGTAGAGCTCGGGGATGGAGATAAGAATCTGCATTTGGAAGTCAACAAGAGGGGTGATATTTAAAGTAATGGAATATGATATTATCATCTAAGTGCTTAGCATAGACAAAGAAGAAAAAAGGTATGAAGATGAGAGCTGATGTGGCTGACTGATTGCATTAAAGGCCGTATATCTATTTCCTTCCCTTTACCCATTCTCTTTGCCATGTAATTGGGCTATCACATCCTTACTCTGGGCGTAAAACTCTCTTTGGCCCATGGGATGATGACGGTTGTGATAGAAGCAGAAGCTTGAGAAAGTACTTGTACATTTCCGCTCTGCTATTACATTCTACCCTTACCATGAGAATATATGCCCAGATACCTTTTGTCCCAGCAGGAGTATGGGAGATACAGGGTCAACCCAAGGTGCATGAGTAAGCCTAGCTAAGCGCATTATAGATCAGATGAAGCTCACAGACAAATGAAGTGTCTAAGTGTTTATTGTTGACTGACATTGAATTTTAGGGTTGTATTTTATGAGCATTATCATAACAATATATAACCAATACAATATTTAGAGGTTTGGATAAGAAGGTAAGAGTCACAAAGGATAGTGAAGAAACCATCAATGGAAAAAATAGGATAAATGGTATCCAGAAACCCAAGAGATGGAAATGTTTCAATAAGGAGAAGTAATCAACTATGACAAATGCAGTGAGAGTTCATGTAAAATGGAAACTAAAAACTGATCAGCACATTTGGCAAAATGATTTTATGAATGTCTTTGATGAGAGTGGTAGGAAGAAAAGTCCAATTTAAGAAAGTTCTAGGGAGAATGGTAGATGAGCAAGTTGAGATAAATTTAAATTAGAGAGTCTGTTTTAAAGGGTAATGGAGAAATGGGGTTATGGTTGGAAGGGAACGTGACTTAGAAGAGAGGTTTTATTTATAGATGGGCTATATTACAGATCACTTGTACATGGATAGGAAGATTTAGTTCATTGGGGAGATAAAACAGATGACACAGGAGAAAAGAGAAATAATCAGAGTAGTGAAGACTTTTAGTAGGTAGGTTGGGATAAGGTCTGGTGTACAAAAGGTGGAGTGTCCCTTAGATAGGAAAACGGGCAATTCTTCCATAGCTATAGGCATGAAGGCAAAAATATAGAGAGGACTTAGATAAAGAGAGGCTGGTCAGCTTGCCAGATGTAAGGATGAAGTTTTCTTCTGAGGGTTTATTTTATTTTTTTAAATTAATGAATGAAGAATTAAAACTATGACCTGGAGGGAGAAAGAGGAGTGTGGTAGACAGAATTCTAAGATGATTCCTTATGACTGTTACTCATATCATATGCTCCCCTCTGAGTATGGGTGGGACTTATGAAGAAACACCACTCCTGTGATTATATTGTTTATTGTTATATGAAAAGAGAGAGATTATCCTGAGTGGACCTGACCTAATGAAGTTAGCTCTGTTAAAAAAAAAAAAAAAAAAAGTCTCAGAACAGAAAATCAGAGTTTTATACCTGGCTGGCCTCAAAGAAAGCAAACAACCATTTTGTTAACTGCCCTATGGGGCACTTGGCAAGGAACTGTGGGTGGCTTCTAGGAGCTGAGAGTGGTCCCTGGCCAACAACTGGCACTAAAATGGGGACCTCCATGCTACAATTGCAGAAGTGAATTCTGTTAACATCCAGCAAGTTTGGAAGATGCCCTTGGGAGAGAGTTGCAGCCTGGCCTAATATCCTGTTATCAGTCTGGCAAGACTCTGAGCGGGGCATCCAGCCAAACCCATCTGAACTTTTAATTACAAAACAGTGATATTATAACTTAATGTTGCTTTAAGTCACTAAGTCCGTGGTCCATACGCTCTCAGACGTTGGGAGGCAAAGAAAAGGGCATCTCAGAGAACGAAGAGTGAACTGACTACAGAATATAGAAAGGTTATGAGAGAATGGAGAACTCATTTAAGGCAGTAATAAATTTAAAGTAGGACTTGTCAGAATTAGAACCTTGGATAAAGGCAAAGACTGGTTTAGGTGTTAGATTTAACTCAGATAGTGGATTGGCCAGTTAAATACGTGGAAGAAGAAAGGGGCAAGGGAAAGAAAATTATATGTAGAAGAATGATCTTTATGTTAGGGCAAGTTACTCAAACAGGCAGAGTAGGGGAGTCGGGGAGTGAGGACAAGAAGAGGGTA